GACGGCGTCAGACCCGTCAGACGGGCTAGGAACGCTTTAAGACGGCCAAGGAGAGGCCCCCAAGACGCCCCCAAGGCCCCCAAGAGGCCCAAGGAGGCCCCCAAGAGGCTTCCAAGAGGCCCCCGGGAAGCCCCCAGGAGGCCCCACAAGAGTGCCCCAAGAGGCTCCCAAGAGGCCTCCTCCTCCTCCTCATCCTCCTCCTCCTCCTCCTTCTCCTCCTCCTCCTCCTTCTCCTCCCCCTCCCTCTCCTGATCCTCCCCCTCAGCCTCCCCCAAGTGTTCCCCGAAGAGTTTCCGGAGCGGCTGGGGGAATCCATAATCAGATAGCTTGGCCAAGGTGGGGCCCAACGTTTGGCCACATAGGCGCTTCTCAAAAAGGCTGGGGGCGGCGGTGATTTGCCGTAGGCGTCTTGGATCCGCCGCCCCCTGTGCTTGCCACAGAGGTGGACGGCGTGCCAGACATTTTGCTGCTCTTGTCATTTTCAAACCCTTCCCAGTGGCCTTCGGCCCAGACCGCCTGCTCCTTGGAAGGACTAAAAGGTGTGGCCCACATCGCCACCAAGACGGCCCAACTGGCCCAAGATGGCCACCAAGATGCCTCCAAGGCGGCTAGGATTGCCCCAAGAGAGCCCAAGACGGCCCCAATGTGTCTCCAAGATGGCCCGAGATGCACCCGAGGCGTTCCAAGATGGCCCCAAGATGGCCCAGGACGGCCCCAAACGCCCCCTAAGAGGCATTTGATGCAGTCCAAGAAGCCTCCAAGGGGACCTGCAGGAAGGCCCGAAGAGGCAAAGGCAGCTGATTCCCCGCGGGCGCTTGACGAATTTTGACGTTTTCGGCCTGCCGAGGGCCCACTGCCGCCCAAGAGACCCCCAAGATGGCCCCAAGAGCGCCCAAGAGGCCTCCAAGACGGCCCCATGACGGCCTCCAGACGGTCCAAGAGGCCCCCAAGGCGCCTCCAAGACGGCCCACGAGAACTCCAAGGCGCCCACTCGTCATCGTGGTCGTCATCGTCGTCGTCGTCGTCGTCGTCGTCGTCGTCGTCGTCGTCGTCGTCGTCGTCGTCGTCGTCGTCGTCGTCGTCGTCGTGGTCGTCGTCGTCGTCGTCGTCGTCGTCGGCGTCATCGTCGTCGTCATCGTGGTCGTCAAATCTCTTCCAGCCACCCCCCCTCCACCACCCCCCTCCACCACCCTCCACCTCCCCCTCCACTCCCCCTCCAACTCCCCCTCCACCTCCCCCTCCACCTCCCCCTCCACCTCCCCCTCCACCCCCTCGGATGTCCCTTGGAACCTTTTTGGGAGCACCCAGGGGGCTCCAGAGGGCCCCAAGAGGGCTCCAAGACGCGCCCCAGAGACCATTGAGAGGTCTCATCCAGACGCGCTGTTCGATGATACCTACTAGCGGTTTCTGAGGCCTCTCTTGGGCCCCTCTTGGGCCCGTCTTGAGGCCCTTCTTGGAGCCATCATATGGGCCAACAAGGGGCTCAAGAGGGCTCCAAGAGGGCCCCAAGAGGGCCCCAAGAGGGTTCAGGAGTTATGTACCAGCAGACGCTGGGTTGGTACATAATTCCTGGGGCCCTCTTGGAGCCCTCTTGGGGCCCTCTTGGGGCCTTCTTAGGGCCAACCCGGGGCCCAAGAGGGCTCCAAGAGGGCCTTTAGAGGGCCCCAAGAGGGCCCTAGGAGTTATGTACCGGCGGCCGCTGGGTTGGTACATAATTCCTGGGGCCTTCTTGGGGCCCTCTTAGGGCCAACCAGGGGCCCAAGAGGGCTCCAAGAGGGCCCTCAGAGGGCCAGAGGGCTCCAGGAGTTATGTACCAGCCGCCGCTGGGTTGGTACATAATTCCTGGGGCCTTCTTGGGGCCCTCTTGGGGCCCTCTTGGGGCCCTTGGGGCCCTCTTAGGGCCCTCTTGGAGCCATAAGAGGGCCCCAAGAGGGGCCAGGCCGGAGTCCCACGGAGACCACCGGGTACCTCCGATGTCCCACGGGGGACACCGGGTAACTCCGATGTCCCACAGGCCGATGTCCAACGGGGACCGGCCGATGTCCCACGGGGACCACCGGGTAACTCCGATGTCACACGGGGGACACCGGGTAACTCCGATGTCCCACGGGGAGCCACCGGGTAACCATGCCCAGACCCCCCCCTGCAAGGTCGAGTTACTCGATGTCCCCCGGGGGACACCGGGTAACTCCGATGTCCCACGGGCCGATGTCCCACGGGGACCACCAGGTGACTCCGATGTCCCATGGGGGTCCACCGGTTTACCGAATAATGCCGAATGCGCCCCTTGCAAGGTCGACTTAAGACCCGACGCCCCTCGGGGGACACCAGGTAAGTGGGGGGTGTGGAGCGCACCCCCCGCTTACCCGATGTCCCCCGGGGGACGCCGGGTAACTCATGCGCGACACCCCCCCGTGCAAGGTCGAGTTACCCGATGACCCCCCCTGGCCACCCGGCAACCCGTGCCTAACACCCCCCCTTGCAAGGTCGAGTTACCCGATGTCCCCCGGGGGACACCGGGTAAGTGGGGTGTGTGGAGCGCCCCCCCCAGTTACCCGATGCTCCCAAGGGGGGGCGCCAAGAAAGTCATGCCCGTCGTCGTCGTCGTCGCCGGTCGTCGGTCGTCGCGGGCCGGAAAAACTTGAGGCTTCGGATCCGTTTTGGGGCCCCCCCGGGCCCCGAGGGCTCCAAAACCCTGGGGAAAAGCAGCAGCAGCAGCAAAATTTACCAATCCAGGTCGAGGCGTCGTTGTCGTCGTCGTCGTCGTCGTCGTCGTCGTCGTCGTCGTCGTCGTCGTCGTCGTCGTCGCCGTCGTCTGCGGGTCGAGAGCTCTGGGATGGGGCCGAATGCTCTGGGTTGGGGTCGGGAACTCCTGGACGGGGTCGAGAGCTCTGGGGTCAAAACAGGGGCCGGGAAATTTGGTCCAAGTGTCGCTGCCTGGTCCTGCAGGGGCTGGGTAAGGGTGCGTTTGCACCTCCTCCTCGTCATCGTCGTCGTGGAGGAGGAGGAGGAGGAGGAGGAGGAGGAGGAGGAGGAGGAGGGCCCCAGGAGTTATGTACCAGCGGCCGCTGGGTTGGTACATAATTCCTGGGGCCTTCTTGGGGCCCTCTTGGGGCCCTCTTAGGGCCCTCTTGCGGCCCTAAGAGGGCCAACCAGGGGCCCGAGAGGGCTCCGAGAGGGCCCTCAGAGGGCCCCAAGAGGGTTCAGGAATTATGTACCAGCGGCTGCTGGGTTCGTACATCGTTCCCGGGGCCTTCTTGGGGCCCTCTTGGAGCCCTCTTGGGGCCCTCTTGGGGCCCTCTTGGGGCCCTCTTGGGACCCTCTTGGGGCTTTCTTAGGGCCCTCTTGAAGCCATCTCATGGGCCAACCAGGGGCCCAAGCTTCAAGAGGGCTCCAAGAGGGCCCTCAGAGGGCCCCAAGAGGGCCCCAGGAGTTATGTACCAGCGGCCGCTGGTTGGTACATAACTCCTGGGGCCTTCTTGGGGCTCTCTTGGAGCCCTCTGGGGGCCCTCTTCGGGCCTTCTTAGGGCCCTCTTGGGGCCATCTTATGGACGGCGACGACAACGACAACGACGACGACGACGACGACGACGACGACGACGACGACGACGACGACGACGACGACCACGACCACGACCACGACCACGACCACGACCACGACCACGACCACGACGATGGTGGCGACGACGATGACGACGACGACGACGACGGCCCCCCTCTGGGACGGGGCCTGACGGGCGCCCGCCCGAGGCCCTCAGAGGCCGTCGTCCACCTCCCCTCCTTTCCCGAGAGCCCTCAGAGGCGTCCTCCTCTCCCCCCCCCTTCGGCCTGGCCTCGGGGTGCTACGGTGCCGCCTGGCCCGTGCCGTTCCCCCCTCCTCTAGAGCCCTGGAGGCGTCCTCCCCGCCTCTCTGGCCTGGGCGGGGGCCGTGTGCGTGCGCGGCCGTCATGGGTCGCCTCGCTCGGCTCGCGCTCGTTTCTGGCGCGCGTTCGCCTGGGGGCTCGCCTCGTCGTTCGCTCGTCGGTGCGTGCGCGGCACACGTCCGAGCACGCAGCTCGCGGCGCCGCGCGGGCGGCGCGGGGCGGCGCGGATGGACCGCGTGTGGCCTGCAGCGTCAGGAAGAGGAGGACGAGGGAGGTGGAATGGATAAGGACGAGGAAGGAGGAGGACGAGGAGGACGAGGAGGACGAAGAAGGAGGAATGGAGGAGGATGGTGAGGAAGAGGACGAGGAGGAACTGTCGAAGCAGGAGCAGGAGGAGCGGGACGACCAGGAGGACCAGGGGAGGGGAAAGGAAGGGGGCGACCACGACGAGAGAACACTCCAGTCCAGGAGGGCGGCCCGTGCTAGGGCGAGACCACCAATCGGAACGACGCGAGCGACGGCGCCGCTCCTAAAAGGAGGCCAGCGCTGCAGCGTGGGCGCCGCCCTGGAAGGACTGAGGCCGCGCGGACTGGAGAGACAGATCACAGCAACGAACCCGTGCCCAGCCTGCGCGCAGAAGACGGTACCCGGAGGGCGGCGCCTCCGCTCTCAGCACGCTTCTCGGGTGAGACAGGAGGCTCGTGTCCCTATCGTGTACTTGCGGAGGCGGGCGACCAGCAGGGGGAGGAGGAAAAAGGAGAGGAGAGGAGAGGAGCACGAGGGCGGAGGAGAGACAGAGGAGCTTCAGCGCCGGCGGCGGCGGCGGCCGCCTCGGATCCTGACACATATATATATATATATATATATATATATATATATATATATATCGACCCCCGGAGGTCCCCCGAGGCCCCCGGAGGCCCCCGGAGGCCTCGGGTTGGCCTGGCACGGGGCAGAGGTGGGGCGGGGCGAGGGGGAAGGGTGGGAGCGGCAGCGCCGGCGGGCGGCGGCGGCCGCGGAGGACCAGCGGCGCCGTAACGGGTACTCACTAACGGGTACTTTCGAAAATTGCCGAAAGTTGCCACTGTAGGGCCTCTTTGTGGCACTGCAGCGTTGCCCACATCGGGGAGGGTGAGGTTCGCAGGGCCACCGTCCAAAGTACCCGTCAGTGGAGTCCCCGTTAGAGGGGCGCCGAGAGGACCTGGAGGCCAGGGACTCCTTCCTGGGGAAGCTGTGCCGAGGCAGGCTGGCCCTGGCGCAGGGGCTGGCCGCGGACGCGGAGAAGCTGTGGCAGCAGGCCGCGGCGGAGTTCCCGAGGCCCCGGCCTCCGCGGGCTCGTCGGTCGGTCGGTCGGTCGGTCGGTCGGTCGTCGTCGTCGTCCTTTTCTTTTCCCTCGTCGTCCGCGACGTCTCCGTCGTCGTCGTCGTTGTCGTCGCCGTCGCCGTCATCTCTGTCATCGTCTTCGGGAGAGGGGGGGAGGGAGGAGGATGAGGAGGAGGGAGCGTGACCAGTGTAAACCCAAGGCCCATCAACGATGTTGCAATAAAGACTCCCGAAGAATTCCCTCTGCATGGCTCCCATACAAGGGTTCATTTTCACTGATGGTAGTGCCCCGCTGGAAGACAACAGTTTGAAAATCTTGAACCGTTCCAGAACAACGTTCCTGGAAATTCAATGCCGTGAATCAACGCGAATCGTGCCAGAACACCATCCGTGGGACTTCAACACCGCGAATATATGTAGCTGTTGCGCCCTGACAGTCCTACACCGTGCCGAAGCACCGTTTCTGGGACGTGAACAGTCGGAGGTTGGGGGGTGAGATCGATGTGGAACGGAGAGCCCCCCACAGGGAAATCGGCTTCGGTTTCGTGTTCGTGCGTGCCGTGCGTGCGGGCGAGGCGAAGCTGCGTGGGCGGGCGGGAGGAAAGTCTCCTGTTGCTGAGGCGCGGCCAGACCAAATGATTCTCCCTCCGGCAAGTGGTGGCCCGCGGTGTCCGGCCGGTGTCCCGCCGGTGTCCCGCTTGTGGCTGGGTCCCGGCCGGACCAAATGATTCTCCCTCTGAGAAGCGGTGGCCCGCGGTGTCCCGCCGGTGTCCCGCCGGTGTCCCGCCAGTGTCCCAGTGTCCCGCCGGTGCGAAAACGATAGTGAGACCGATGACGAAATCGATTGTGAGATCGATAGTGAGATCGATAGTGAGGCCGATAGTGAGATCGATCGTGAGTGAGATCGATAGTGAGATGAATCGTGATATCGATTGTGGGATCGAGTGATATCGATAGGGATATCGTTAGTGGGATCGATAGCGAGATCCAGAGTGAGATCGACAGTGCAATCGATCGAGTGAGATCGATAGTGATATTGATCGAGTGAGATCGATCGTGGGATCGATGGTCCCATCGATCGTGAGACCGATCGCCGCCGCCGGCCCGCTCCCGCCGCCTTTACGTTCCGATGCTCGACCGCGCGGTGCCGGAAAAACAGCAAGCGTGCGCCATCCCCGAAAGGCTCCCAAGAGGCACCCAAGAGCCCCCAAAGAGCCCCCCAAGAGGCCTCCAAGACCCCCCAAGAGGTCCAAAACACGCGCCCAAACGGCCCCCCAAGCCCTTGCAAAATGAATTGAATAAATTATCATTGCGTTGGTTCCCGGGGGGGAAATGATGCCAAGGCGCCCAATAGCGAAAGATGACGTAAAGCTCCCGAGAGCGAGCGGCAACGCAACAATTACCACTGTTGCCCTTTGCTGGCCCCCCTCCCCCCCAACCTCCTTATCACCCACAGGTGTGCTCGTATAGGTAAAAATATTTGAGATTGCTGTAAACTCTTAAGACGAATGTGCGCGGCGCTGGGGCGAGAGCGGCATCTTGAAAAGGTGTATCCCTCCATCCGCGCGGTTCTCGCTCGCTGTTAAGACGAATTTGCCCGGCGTTAGGGCAAAAAACGCATTCTGAAAAAGGTGCCGCCCTCCATCCGTGAAGTTGTTGCAAACTGTCAAGAAGAGTGTGCGTGGCGCTAGGGCGAGGGCCACATTTTGAAAACGACCCGCCCTCCATCCGTGAATCTGTTGCAAATTTTCAGCTTCAGGATCAGAAGTGGTGGGGAAGTTTCAGACGAAACGCCCGGCCCGCCCTTCCGACATTATTTTTCGGGGTGCGACAGGGAGCTATATATATCTACACATATATAACGCATGGGGGAGGAGGAGGATGAGGTGGAGGAGGAGGAGGAGAAGGAGGAAGAGGAGGAGGAGGGGGAAGGGGAACTGAATAGGGAGGTGACAGGATAGATGGGGCGAGGAGGAGAAGGCGGCCGATTGCAATTACACGCGTAGGAATGATCGAGAGTCGCTTGGGGTCAGCTTGCAGCCGTTGTGAAAGGGTCCGATTGCATACAAGCAGGACTTAACATAAGAGTATGATTATATTCCCTGGATCGCTTGACAGGGCCGGATTGCAACTGCGCCTCGTGATGTTTCTTTAGAGTCTGCTTAGGCATGCTGAAGCATACGCTTCTTAGTATGTCGACCAAGATGTTTCAACAGTGTTGAACCAGTTTCTGAACAACTCTGACACTGACTAAGTGTGTACCTTGCGTTGAGCGGGCACGTTGTGGCGTTCGCACGCTCCTTTCGGTGAGCAACGGCTATCGTTGGGGCTCGCAGACAAATTGTGGCGTTCGCGGGGGATCGTGTAATTGGAAGGACACTTGTAGCTATCTCGCACACATGCATATAAATGTTTTTTTCGCACGTTCAACACTTGAATATGAGCGTATGCAGTCAGAATTCGTTGCTTCCTTGTACCTTGTTGTAGCTGGTGGTAGCTCAGCTCGTTCCAGCTTGCGTGGTTGCTCACTTCGTATTCGTACCTCGTTGTACGTACTACGTCGTATGTAGGTGCGTAGATATGTTTGCACTGTGTGTTTTATGTGATGTAAGCTACGTGGTGCTATATACGGTGCAAGCCGTGTGGTGTAGCTTGGCGGTGCAGCTGCGCGGTGCGATACTTGTGGCGTAGCTTGTCTGATGTACGCTGCGCGGTGCAAGCTTTGCTGTGCAGTTCTAGGCGGTGTGAGCTACGTGGTGAAGCCTCTGCGGTGTAAGCTATTTGGTGCAAGCGTTGCTCTCACGAGGCGCCCAGGAGCGGGCACGGGCGCCAACGCGGCGAAGTCTCGGGACACCCACCCAGCGCACGGGGCGCCCACGAGGCGCCCACGAGCGGGCACAGGCGCCAACGTGGCGAGACTTCGGGACACGAGGAGGAGGAGGAGGAGGAGGAGGAGGAGGAGGGCGAGGAGGGGAGAGGAGAAGAGGAGGAGGAGGAGGAGGAGGAGGAGGAGGAGGAGGAGGAGGAGGAGGAGGAGAGGAGGAGGTGCCAACGCGGCGAAATCTCGGGACACCCACCCAGCGCGCGGGGCGCCCACGAGGCGCCCACGAGCGGGCACAGGCGCCCACGTGGCGAGACTTCGGGACACCCAGCGCACGGGGCGCCCACGAGGCGCCCCCGAGCGGGGCGCGGGCGCCAACGTGGCGAGACTTCGGGACACCCAGCGCACGGGGCGCCCACGAGGCGCCCACGAGCGAGCGAACCGCCGGGACATCCATCAAGTTACGTCAGATCGCACATTCGAGCCCCTAAGGCCACGCACTGTTTGGGGAGCAGACGCTCTTATGGTTACGGGTGCTTCAGTGCAGTTTCCATATATATATATATATATATATATGTGTATATATATATATGTGTGTGTGTGTGTGTGTGTGTGTGTGTGTGTGTGTGTGTGTGTGTGTGTGTGTGTGTGTGTGTGTGTGTGTGCGTGCGGCTATCTGCAATGGGGTCTACCTATATATGCATGTATGTAGTGTATCACAGTTGCAACTCTTGTACAAGTCTGCGTGTTGTCCGTTGCTGTTAGGTTTCGCACGTGTTACTGACAGTGCATGTTTACGCTGTGAGTAGCTGCGCGTGATGTGCAACCGTTTGCAAGTTTGAAGGCGCTTAGAGCGGCCAGATTGGCACGTAGTCTTCCAATGTGGCGCAAGGTGTATGCAATACTTGTGAATGGAGGTTCATTCCCGCATGCCGAGGCACGTACAGTTGCAGGTGGGCCCGTCGAAACAGCGTTTCCAGAAACCCAAGTGGCCACTCAAGACAGTTCACCTGGTGCCGAGTCGGTCCTGACAGCGCCTTCACAGTCATGGTATGTATGAGCGGTGGAGCGGGCCTTCCGCTACTCCAAGGCCAGGGTTCGGTGCGAAAGCAAGGGTGAAGTGTCCTCCTGGAGAGTTTCCACCGAGGAGCGTTGAGTCCGATCGGCTGTGCGGGGGTACCATGTAACATCGCAAGGGGGGTATACCTCCCGCTCTCCCAGGACCACTGCCCGTCGTGAAGGCAGAGGATGGAGCGAGAAGGGAGAGCGAGGAAGAATGCCGTGGACCGTCGCGCAAGAGGCTGCTGGAGGAAGCGGTGGATCCAGTTCCGCGCTCGTCCTCATTCCGCCCCCTTCTCCTCACTCTTCGGTCGCACTCGTTCTGCTGCTCTCCTTCTCGCTCCTCCTGTCCGTCATCTTCCTCCCTCCCTTCCTCCTCCGTGCCCCCCTTCCCGTACATCGAATTCTATGTCGTCATCTTCCTTCTTCTATTCTGTCGTCTTCCTCGGTAATGCTTCTTCCCCCCCTTCCCCCATACAGGCCAAGTGAGGTCCAACCGTTGGAGTAATTGTTGCTGGTTTTCACCCCTGGAGGCCGTTGCAGCTGATGGAAGCGAAGTGGAACGAGTTGACACATACAGTTTTCAAGCCCTTGATGGGCGTTCGCTCAAGCTTGAGCCAGTGACGATACATCTTCAAAGCATGGCAAATATTGACGCGCGGGCCAGTTGTCGCAACCAGAAGTGGCGGATCCCACGTAGTTGTGACTGGTCCCTTGTGGTTGCGATCGGGCTTAGTCGCAGGGGGGAAGAGGAGGAAGAGACGGAGGATGATGACCGCAAGGAGGAGGAGGAGGAGGAGGAGGAGGAGGAGGATGTGGAGGAGCAGGAGAAGTACACGGAACTGGTGGAGCAGCAGGAGCACTAGCAGGATTACCAATATTCTACCACATGGAATTACGTATCACCCTTTCTCCCTCCTCTCCCATCTCCTCTCCCATCCCCTCTCCCATCTCCCCTCCCTCTTCCCTCCTTGATTCCTCCCCTGCCTCTTCCCTCCATGCTTTCTCCACCATCTTCTCACCCTGCGCTCACTCCCACCGCCGCCGCCATCCGCGCCAGGCGCGTCGAGCCGCTGGTGGAGCTGTGGCAGCTGCACTCGTGGCAGGGGGCCCACAAGAAGGCCTACCCTCTCCTCCCCCTCATCCTCCTCCTCCCCCTTCCCCTCCCTCCCCTCCTCCCTCCCCCCCTCCTCCTCCTCCTCCTCCTCCTCCTCCTCCTCCTCCTCCTCCTCCTCCTCCTCCTCCTCCTCCTCCTCCTCCTCCTCCTCCTCCTCCTCCTCCTCCTGATCCTTCTCCTGCTTCCCCTCCTCCTCCTCCTCCTGCCCCTCCTCCTGGTCCTCCCCCTCCCCCTCCTGCTCCTCCTCCTCTGCGGCAGACCACCGCCCGAGCCGCCGGCCACGCCGGCTCCCCGGCGGCCCTGGGTGCGCGGGTCGGGCTCGGGGGCCCGGGCCGGGGCTCCCCCGGCCGAGGCCGGCCCGGGCAGGGGGCGGCAGCGGCGTGGGCAGGGCCATCTGCGGTGGCGACGATCGGGGCGAATGGCCCTCTTCCTCCTCCTCCTCCTCCCCTCCTCCTCCTCCTCTCCCCTTCTCCTCTCCTCCCCCCTCCTCCTCACCTCCCCCCCTCCTCCTCTTGCACGTCTTCGCGCCGAGGGGCCCCGCCGAAGACACGGATGATCGGCCTCCCGTGGATACATGTGTTGTCCTCCCCTGGGCTCTTCGCCCCCACCGCCGCCTCCGACATCCGTCCCAAATGTACGATTCTCCTCTTCTTCTCCTCCTCCTCCTCCTCCTCCTCCTCCTCCTCCTCCTCCTCCTCCTCCTCCTCCTCCCCTCCGACCTCAGGCCAGGCGGGTAAGCTCACAGCAAGGGCAGTCTTCTTCGGTCGCAAGGCTATGAGGGGTGCTGCCACGTCTTGGGAAGGGATTCATGCGCGCTCGACTTCTTCGGAGGACGTCTTGAGGTATTGGATGGAAAGCCCCCCCCGCTTAAGGTTGAGTGTCGAGTCCGACGATTGCGCTGGTACCAGAAGTGGGCGATCAGCCCAGCGAGGCATTTGGGTAAGTGCGCCCCCCTCTGTGGCGACATGCAGATCGAGCTGCAGCGCGGGTACCACACTTTGAGCGTCGAGGGCCACCTCACGCCGACGGCGAACCCTTGGGCCATTCCGTACATCAGGAACTTCGAGGCGTTTGGGAAGACTTCGTATGACATCGAGGCCTCCATGGACTCCTGGACTGGGGCCACGCTGGCGTTTCTCGAGGAGGGGGAGTTGCGGGACTGGTTGGTCGGTGGTCAGGGCCGCGCGTCTGTCAGTATGCATCCTTCCTCAGTGCCGTTCCCCTCGGGCTCCCGCTGTACTATCAGAGGTGCCTGCTTGGTACGTTGAAGGCTTCAATTGTACGCTAGACGGCAGTAGCGAATGGCTTCTTACCAAACGACAGTGGCTTATACATCTTCGTGCGGCGCATGGCTTCAAGACTTTGTTGGCTGAAGCTATTCATGGGACCTCGTGCCTCGTGTGCGGCGGCAGGTTTCAGAGCTTCAACTCCGTTTACAACCACATCCTGGATTTGTTCGCTTCGGGCTTTTGCAAGTTTCAGCTGAGTACCACACCAGAGCTCGAGATCCCCGAGGGCCTCTTCGACTGTCGCCTATGTGTGGCTCAAACCTTGACGGAGGCTGAAATCCACATCCACACGCGCTCGCACTTTGAGGATCTCGTTCCTATGCCACGCGATGGAGGAGCCAGCCTGGGCTGTGGGGAGGCGCAAAGGCGCAGAGGGCGGTGAGGAGAAGGGGGCCAAGCAAGCCAAGCTGTTGGCAGCGCTGGGCCAGGAAGCGAAGGACAACCATAATGGAGGCAAGGGCGGGGCGCTGGCTTCACTGCTGGTGGTGCTCACCAAACTCACTATCACCAGCGCGCGCGAGTTGGCCGAGGTGACTGGCGCATGCTTCACGTGCTACTACATGGTGGGCGCCGCCGTGGCCTTCGTGAGCGTACTACAGGAGTCGGGGCGGATTTGCGCAGAGAAGTGCAAGGCGCCGCCGTGGCCACATGTCTTCAAGGCGTTCATACAGTGGGCCTGCACGGACGGGGCCGAGACGACGCCGCAGGAGGCCAAGGCTTTGTTCCGGGACTACTGGCAGATGGTGATCCTGGCGCCGACGCCGCTGGAGTTGCTAGCCGCTCACTGCTGCCATTATAGGATCAAAGCGTGCAGGTTCGACGAGACGAAGCAGCAGCGTCCGCACCGTCTCAAGTTCCAGATCATGCTGGGAGCCCAGCAGCAGGCCAACAGGTGGCAAGGCGTCACTATGACACTGATGGAGGCGATTCAGGCCGCCATTCTGGCGTCCGCGACTAAGGAGACGGACCGGCGCGCCCATTGCTTCCCTGACTCCCCGCCGGGGGGCGGGTTCGAGAGGGGGGCGGCCAAGATTTAGCTGAAGCTGTGACTCAAGGGCTAGCCCGGGGGGGGAGGGAGAGAGGCAGCAGGAGGACGACGTCGGAGCAGAACTGTGAGGCCCGCGGTTCGCGCCCGACTCGCTGCGATAAACTGCCCCCCGTCCCGACCCTCACGCACTCCTTGGGGGCCATGGCGGTCGAAGTGGTCCTGCAACCCCTTCAATTCAGGCCCCCCTCGGCGCGGAGCGTTTTCGGGCCCTCTCTGAGGCCCCGCGTCAGCTGCGACTTGCCGAGAGTTTTATGGGCAAGGACAGCCTTCCAGTAACCTCGAGGTCGTCTGACGTCTGGGCCGTTCCTAGCTGAGGGTCCGAATCGGGGTTGCGCTGATGGGGCTTTTTCGGCGCTCGCCTCTGGCTCTACCCAGCGAGGGAATGAATAGACGAGCTTCCGAAGTGTCTCCTGATGGGGGTCTTTTTTTTGCCAGCGGTATCCGCTTGCAGGGCCCCAGCGATCGCCGGGCCCCTTCAGTGGTTCTCGAACGCCAGATCAGTTTTCTTGTTTTCCTGAGGGCCCTCAGGGTGCGCTCCTCTGCGGCACTGCAAGTCTACCGGATCATTGGTGCTGCTCTGCTCTGCTCTTCTTTGCTCCGTTTCCTCCTCCTCCTCCTCCGCCTCCTCCTTCGTGTCCTCATCCTGCTGCTGCTCATCCTCCCGCATGGATGGAATGGCAGGAGAAAAGAGAGGACTGTGAGCGGGAGAAGGGGATCAGAGTGAGCCAAGGGTGCACTTACGATGCTGAGTCCCCCCAGAAATGCAGAGTATTCCTTGTCGATGCGGGGAGCGTCCGTTTGAAAGACGAACGACCCATGCCATTCAAACCGACGTTCCGCTTTGACGAGAAACTGCCCTCATCATCCGTGCGGGTATGACGGATGTCCTGGTCGATCCCACGGATGCGCCAAGCGATTGCATTTTGAAACGGAGCCGCCCTCCACCCGTGCAAATGTTGACCATGTGAACTACAGTGTCGTAGACTCGGGGCGGCGCTCAAGCGACGGGCCCCTTATGCACAGGACCCTTGCCACTCCGGCCGTGTGCTTCCTGCATGTTCCACAGCTCGGGTCAGAACGCCAAATGCGGTTTCAAGTGACAGATAACTCTACAGTGAACAGGGATTGCCCCACCGTCTGTGTAGTTAAGCTGCACAAGCTCTCAGGACGAAGGTTCACGGCGTTCAAGCCGAAACCACATTTGGAAAACGGGCCGCCCCCCGCCCAGGTAACCGTGGCAGGTCGCAAGTTTCAAACGACACCGTGTTTAAGCGCTATGGCTTCCTAGGCGAGGCGCCAGACGCGCGTCCTGCCGACACGCCCGGTGGTGCGACGGGGACGATTTATCCGTAATGAAAAACGACGGCGGAAGAACAATGGGGATATGAGGAGGGAGGAGGGGGAAGAGGAGGAGGAGGAGGAGGAGGAGGAGGACGAGGAGGAGGAGGGGAGGAGGGAGGAGGAGGAGGAGGAGGAGGAGGAGGGGAGGAGGAGGAGGAAGGGAGGAGGAGGAGGAGGAGGAGGAGGAGGAGGAGAGAGAGGAGGACGAGGAGGACGAGGAGGAGGAGAGGAGGAGGAGGCGGCGGGGTTGGACGAGGAGGAGGAGGAGGAGGAGGTGGAGGAGGAGGAGGAGGAGGAGGAGGAGGAGGAGGAGAGGGGAGGAGGAAGAGGAGGAGGAGGAGGAGGAGGAGGAGGAGGAGGAGGAGGAGGAGGAGGAGGAGGAGCATTTTGCTGGATTCTGTTGGCCTGACTTCCGAAGATGCAAAACACGCACAACGGCGGCGAAAACGCGCCTGCCGCCTACCCCCCGGCCTGTCCTGGGCGACAGGGCGGGGACTCCTGAAGCGCACGCGGCCGAAACCTCGACCACCGCGTGACTAACGGCGGCGGCGCGCTCCGCGCGCCGCCACAGGTCCCCCAGCCTCGCCCCGGCGGGGGGGTGAACCGCCGTGGGAGCTGTGAGCCCCGGGGGGAGGAGAGGAGACGAGAGAGGGGGGCGACGAGGAAAAGGGAGAGAGGAGGAAGGGAGGGGCACAGTCCCACAGCAGCCTACCCCCCTCCCCCAGGGGAGGCGCGACCCTTCCCGCCTCCGCCAGTCCTGCGGCCTGGTCCCCAGCTCTACCTTTACCCCGCCGATCCAGGCGGCGCCGACCGCCCCGGTGGCTCCGCCAGTGGGGGGTGCCCCGGCTATCCTCGAGTCGTTGACGGGCCCCCCGCTATCCAAGGGGGGGGGGGGCGAGAGGAGGAGGAGGAAGAGGAGGAGGAGGAGGAGGAGGAGGAGGAGGAGGAGGAGGAGGAGGAGGAAGAACGGGATGAGACGAATGATCATAAGGACGAGGAACAAGAGGAGGGGGCGCTGATGGAGCAGGAGAGCCCCCGAGGAAGGAGGAGGGCGGTAAGAAAAACGAGGGGGAAGGGATGGTGGAAACAGGAGACGGGGAGGGTGGCCGCCGAGAGAAGAGCTGGCCGCCGCCCTGCCGCCGAGAGCAGAGCAGGCCGTGCTGGTGATGCAGAGAGCGGTGGACTCGGCCACGAGCCCAGAGAGTGAGCTCGGGCAGTACGTGACGGTCGACGTCGACGTGCTCCTCAG